AGCCTGTTCGGGAGATGTGAGCAATACCCTATGCCAAGGACCCAAACTCTATTTTTCTTGAACACTGTCTATTTTTTATGCAACACTGCTCAGCCAAAAACCAAATCAACCCTGCCACTGAAGAAATGCTGCTTYTAACAAGTAGTCTTTGTCTAAATAYGTTCAGTGCTTTTCAAAATAAATGACTTACCTCTGCAAGGAGTGATCAGTTTGGTACATGATGTATTAGAAAATTCATTAGTCTCTAGTTTGAAATATTAGAGAGGAGTAAATGTTAGCAGGTGTTCATGCACTGCCAGATTTGGCTGGTAATGCATTTTGATTTGAAATACAAGTTTTGAAGTACTTGGCTTCTCATTTTGGTTATGGTAGTATTACAATAAATCTAACAATAGACCATAATCCAAATTGACTGAAATACAGTACAATTAAACATTCTTCAGAACAGGGTACATAAAACTCTTCTCAACTATTCCTTTAAATGAGAAAAACACTTTACATGTAACAGGAACTGTTACATATAGGTCAAAAAGCAAAAAAWTTCACTGTATGCCATTTTGATGAGGTATTTTTTGATAGTATTTTTATCTCTCAGTAKAACCACAAGATAATTGAGTAATTATGCAGATATTCTTCTGAAAAGAATATTTGTTCCCTAAACATTGTATGTGGTCACCTGAATACTGTGCAATGAAAACCAAAGAAAATCAGCTGCTGCCACTACCCTTAGCAGAGACACTGAACTGATCCTGTGTATTTCTCTAGGCTACCTCTTTGCAAGCAAAAACTCAGTGTGGGAGCAAATCTTATTTCCATGACAGCAAAGGCCCATGTCAGCTGAGAAGACTGACTTAATTTAACTGTCCCAGTAGTCTTCATCTGATCATRTCTGAATTTATTAATACCATTTAACTTAATCTCCAGTTTAATCCCAGGGTTTGCCTGAAAGATGAAATTRGGCTGTTGCATTTATAGCAAACCCACAAAAATGTTGAATGAACCACACTGCTCCCATCCCTGCAAATATCTGCAATCTGTGTATTTGCAGGGCTAGAGCTAGATTGTTTATGATACTTACCACTTCTAATCATTAGGATCTCTATGAGTTCTGTTTCACCAAAGGTTATTTATGGAAGATTGRTTATTATAGAACAGGTGAATATTGATCTGGAAGATCTAATTTTCTCTATCTGACCTTGAGAAATAGCCTGAACTCATGGCTGCACATTTTGCTCTGTGAAGTGATATTATTAATATTTTTAAGAACATAATTGTAGAAAGCATTTTATTAAAATCTGGATACACCCTTRAGGAAGACTATACAAAGGTGCATGTCCTTACTCAGCAGATCCGCTCCTTGTAGGTTTTTAATCACTTRTACCAGATCTCACATGGACCCTCTCACATGACTTCAACAATACCATGAAGCCTTAATATGAAGCCAACATATATTTAAGCTGGTTCTGCAACTGARAGAACAAACAAACAAACAAAAGCTCCTGGGGTACAATTCCTCTTCTGCTGTGCCAGCACAAGAATTTGGTCCCCTGCTCAGTGAACCAAGTAGGGTATCACTGATCTCACTCAAAAATTAACTTCCAGTTGCATCACTTCTCTATAGGACTACAAATATGGCTTTGTTCATGCACTGCAGTGCTTTTCAGATATAAGAACAAGGATTCCTGGAGACAGAAGTACAGACTGCTTTTTGTGGGAACAGTGATCTAATTGCATGCCACATTGCAACCTGAAGATACACAAATGCTCCAGCCAGTCACAAACTAAAACAAACTTTTTGAACAATGTATTGCTGCAGTAAAATGTCTTGTACCAGGACAAAAAAGTGACATTCTAATCACTTTCATGATTTATCAGCTGAATTATTTACACACACTGCAAGCTAGGTAAACTCTGTCACAGTGATGGAGTAATACTGCCATTAAGGGAATCAMCTGAACACACAGACTTTGTAACCCATGTATCACCTTTGAGATTGTCAGCCCTGGTGATAGYGAAAAATAAACCTGCTAAAAAAAGAAGACGAGATTCTTCAGCCCAATGTGTTCTTTGTTCAGATAGAAGTGAATGGCTCATTCAGCTGTTCTATCGCAACAGTGGAGCTGGAGCAGAGAAAAGGGGCCAGAGGTGATGGTGAAAATGCATGAGTAGGAAACACTGGTCAAAACCCCAGGCAAAATCTACAGACCTGACAAAAAAAATCCTTATCATTTGAAATAYGTATGGAATTATAAAATAATCAAAATCTGTTTTATTTTTGTTTGCAATTTTAATACAYATGGCTTGTTCCAAAGTCAGTTTCTTGGTAGATCACTTTTTCTTGTCAAATACACTCCATTTCCTGGGAATTTATGTCTGCTGAGGGAGTGGCTACCTAACAAAAAAAATGTGTTTCATTACTGCAGGAACAGTTATTGTGGGAGAATTACAATAGCTGTTCATAAATTATATTTATAATGGGCTTTTTTCCCCCAAAGGAATAATAAAGGTAAATCAGAGAAGACGGATATATCCATACTTCTGCAGAGCTCTCAGCAAATTCTGTTTTCCCCTTCTCTCCCACTTGGCTCCAGCAAAATACTTCCTCTAACATAACCCTGTTAGAAGCAACTCAGGGAAAATCGCAAACTCTGGAAAGCTTGGAATTTGAGGGGTTTCATGAGAAGTCACTCTTCACTGAATACATAAAACCATTCAAAACTAGGATACAAAAATGAACTAGAGGATTGTCCCTTTGCCTCAAACATAATTCAATAAAATCATGTGGAACATAACATAAGAAAATTAATAAGAACAGCTCTATAAAGTAATTTCAGGGGCACTTTTAACTCAGTATCTCACCTAACATGGCAGTCAACAACAGATTCCTAAGGAAGAATGTCAGAATAAAGCAATCATCTTCTTCAGCAATTACACAAAGCTTCAAGCAGTGTAGTTCAGGGACTTTCTGAACCAGAGGTAATACCTTGTACTTAATAACTATTAATAGATRTATTTGTGGATAAAAATCCAAACTGTTGGCCGAATGCAAACTTTTAGTRTCCTTAATATTCAAATACAGAGTTTTGCAAATTTAAGCACTTTATTTTTTTCTAAGCACTTTTTGTTTCAGTCTTCTACTTGATCATTGTGTTCAATGCCCTCTACATCTAATAGAAAAAAGTCCTTCTGTGTTTGTTTTTTTCTGTGCCTTTCATGACTTTATAAATYTCCATATGGCATATGCCTCCCAAGATATAGTCTATTGAATTATTTCTTATAGACAGTATCTTTGGCAGTCTTCATACATCACCTGTGTCTCTCTGCTATCCCAAGAGCTCATTCCAAGTGACTTCAAGTAACAAGAAGAAAAGTTTTCAGAGCATAAAGATTTATAGACTTGAATACGTGGTAAAACCTAGTCCCTGCTCATTGCAGAGGAGTGGAACCAGATGACCTTTGAAGGTCCCTTTCCAACCCAAACCATTCAATGATTCTGCCAGCTGAAGCACACTGAAGTCATGAGATTGTATTGTCCTACATTAACCTCAGGTAAAACACCTTCGTCTCCACATGGCCTATATACCCACACTTTAGTTTTATTTTTCTAACATCCCTAAAGACCAAGAAGCAGGGACTCTAGTGTTGCTGGTAAAAATCCAAAGATGACATAGACAAAGTTAAATGTAAATAACTTTTTAATGCACAGGATGAAACATAATTTAARGTAAAGGCACCTTACTCAGGTTTGATCCCCTCAAATTTATGCACTGGCCTAAGTCAACAGAGTAACTAGCAGTTAKCCTAATTCCTTCTTTTTCCTGGAGCTACTCATCTTTTACTGTGTGGGATTTTAGGGAGATTAATTTCTACAGTAAGTGAATCAGATGTCTAAAGATAGATAGGATGCCAAGGTGAAGCATTGTGAAGAACATTCCTCCTTTCCTTGATAAGACTCAAGTGTATTTACAAAAGCCTCTCAAAAGCTCAGATCTGCTATCCCTATGCCCATAAACCAATTGCAATACTGCCAATAGTAACAATGGCCTTATTACACAASAGTAATAAAAATGGTTCAAACAGAAGAGGAGTGTTTGAGAAGGGAGGTCACAAGCAGTGGGAGTCACCACTGACTGAACAGTACCATACTTGGAAGGAGTGTTTGCTTCCTACTTGAATCCTTGAGCACTACCAAAACCTACACTGTAGTTCAGCTATTGGTTGCCAAATATCAAACCTCCCATTCTTGAACAGGTCGTAGAGAAGTTCACGAAGCTCAGCAGCAGTATCATTTAATTAAAGCGAAGTGTACTGTCACAGCATGGCAAGTATCTCACTTCACTGGCCATTAAGGACTCGATTTGGTGCCTAACTGCAGCTGTCTACGGCCACTGAGATGCCCAAAACGTCCTGTGTGTCCTTACCCTGYCATCTCAGAAGATTTGTGGTCTTTCTTTTGTTCCTGTGTTGTATCGTGCAGACTGATCGGGGCATTCTTTATTCTCCTGGGCACTTGAAAGAGTGCTAAATGCTTCCYAAAGGCCCTAAGAGGTGGGTCATCGTGCAAAACCAAGAACCTGTTAATCTTTTTTAATGGGAAGGTCACGGCAAATTTTCAGTTCGCCTCTCTTTATTCCCTTCTCTGACCAGCCTGGTCTGGGGATGTTTTGTTGTCTCCGTCGGCTCTGGCAGCCTGCTGGGCCAYCCTCACTAAGGAACCAAACCAGCAGCCAGGAACCAGGGCACAGGATCCTCGCCACCTCCTTGGCCTCACGGGCACCGGAAAGTCCACACTGCAAACGAAGGAGAAAAAAAAGTCACWTCAGAGGAAGGAGGGAGAAAACAGAGCCCGGTGCGCATCAGATCTGAGCCTACAACGCCTGCGGGGGAGTGGCAGTCACGGTCAGGCCTGTCACACGGCGCCCGGAGCGCACGGAAGGCGACACCCGGTCCCGACCCCGCCTGTGCCCGCCCCGAGCGCGCTCCGCCCCGGGGCTGMGGCGCCTGCGCGGGGCCGGTTCCCGGGGTGAGCGGGTCCTGTGCGGGGCTGTCCCGGCCATGGAGGCGGCGCGGGGGTGGCCGCTGTGGCTGCAGGGCCTGGCGCTGCTGTGGGGCCGCACCGTGCTGGGGCTGGAGGAGATCCGCACCACGGTTCCGCCGGCGCCGGTGCAGGGTAAGGAGGGGTGGGCAGCGCGCCCTTCCCTTCCCTTCCCTTCCCTTCCCTTCCCTTCCCTTCCCTTCCCTTCCCTTCCCTTCCCTTCCCTTCCCTTCCCTTCCCCGGGTGCGGATGGGCGGCCAGGAGGCCCTGAGGCGGGCTGAGGGGCATGGCGGCGGCCAGGGGCACGGGCTCGCCCCGAGGCCTGCGGGGGACCAGCGGCGTTCGAAGCGCCTTCAGGAGAGTTGCGGAGAGCTCGGCGCTTGCCGTGGTGCTCGCCCCCGGCGCGGAGCGGGCTGGTTTGGGGTAGCGGGAGGGAGCAGCCCGCTCCTGGCCGAAGGACGCGGTGATGGCGCTGGGCTTTGCCTACCTGCGGGGCCGATGTCGGAGCCTTTTTGAGGCACGGAGACAGCAGCCACAGAATCCCAGGGTGGGGCGGGTTGAAAGGGACACAGCTGTCACCTGGTCGAACTCAATTGCTCAAGCAGGGCTGTCCCAGAGCGCTGAGTCGCCAGGGTTTGCCCAACCCTGGKTGATCATGGGGTCTGTGGCTCAGGAGAGGCTGACGGAGATGCTCATCCCACCCTGTTCTGTTGGAATCATTTATCTCTTAGCTGCTTTTGGCAGGCAGTTGGTRAAGCTCGGCCTCAGATTTGGTTGCCACTGACAAATAGGACCACAAAGGTGTATGTCAGGTTGGCTGGTATCAAATTAGGGTATCTCAAGTTCACCTTGACAGGTGTGTCTAGATCCCAGTTTAAGGTGTTTAATTTCCTTTAGGAAGGGGTTTATACTTAAAAAGGGAGTCTCCAGCTTCTCGGGACAACTAATTTGAAGCAAATTAGCCCTGCTAATTCATATTCAGAAAGCTCGATTGCTTGGGTGTTTTAAATCTCACATTGAAAAAATAATGAAGTATTATTATAATAAGCATGGTGGTACTCTGTGTTGAATAATTCCATGKGTAAATTTTTGAGTTTGAGCTGAGAACTGTTTCTGAACCTGCTTCTTATTTTTCCATGAACTGGTATATGGCCTTACACTTAGGCTGTTAATCGGTACCCATAACAATTTAATTGGTACTGGAAGAACTAGTAAGGGGGTTTTCTATATGAAAGATAAATATACTGGTACATAAAATGCATTTAACATTAAGAATTAGTACTGGAAATATTTAATATTGAATTATGAGAAGAAAGTATTGAAATAAATAGTTGTCTCACAAGCAAGTAACTTAGTTCAAATTGATAATTGCTTGTGACTAATGCTCCATTAAAGTTAGAATTAGATTCTTGGTTTGGAAATCTTTTCCCCTTGTATTTTCTTACTGAAATAAAAAAAAAAGCTCGTTTCATTAAATGATATAAAAATTATCGTAGGAACTACAGTTACTGGAAGAAAAATCCAGGTTCAGACTGGGAAAGGAGATGCCCTCTCATCTTTCAAGTAGTTCATCTAGGTCAAGACTATGGCATGTACATGGTCCTGYGGGCAACAAATTATGTCTGAATTATGGATAAAAACAGACTAGTCTTAGAGTGATAGATGTGGAATACTTCTAAAAAAAGTAAATGTAAACATCAGTAAGTATATTTTTTTACAATTTGAAGATAATATTCATGAAGTTCTTCTGCATAACTTAGCTTGTCAAGCTTCTGTTAAAGTTCTAATTGAACTCTTGCARATTAACTTTGTGTCCTATATTTGGAAGTGTTTTTTATTGTTATTCAAAGTCATTTGGGGAGCTTTATCTTTTAAAAATCTTTTTCTCCCAGAAAAAAATAATACCTATGGAAGGGGAAAAATCCCAGGAAAGACTCAGCTTTTGCAAAGCTTTCAAAGCTGAAAATTTGGAATTTTCCCTAAATTGAAGAGTGTAAGTTCTAGAACTTCAGCAGAAATACAGGGAGGCTCTTGGGTTACATCTTCTGTGTTGTCCTTAGAGAAAGGAAACTGTAAAAGGTAAGCTTATTTTCCTATGTCTAAGGTTGACCTTAAATATTTTTTTATCTCTGCTGCAGTTCTCCTGGAATGGAATTACTGAGATTTCATTACTTCAGTCAAAATTGTTGCTTGTATCTAGAAATAGAGAAAAAGAAATGCTAAATATTTAAAATAAATTCTTGACCTTATGGAATAAAATCTCTGTGTGTCTTGGTTTTGTTTGTTTTTATAGCATGTTCAGYTTTTTCCCAGAAGTCCTGTGAAGAATGTCTGAAAAATGTTTCGGTAAGATTTTTAACATCTGTTTTGATTTATGAAAATTTCCACTTAATATGAAATTAAATCATTAGGCTTTCTTTGACTGTTTGTTTCTTATTTACACGATAGAGTCAGCTGTTGTGTTGCTTCCCTTCTGTCCCATGTGATGCCAGTGTGCTTTCACTTTGCCRGGGTTGTTCCATGATTTGGTCACTCAGGGTGTTTCTTGCTTTGTCTGGAAAGGGCAGACTGAACCCAGGGTTCCAGTGTCAGTGTGTGCTCAGGGCTTTCATAGCTCCACTGAGTGAGTTGATGTTGCTGCTGCCTCAGACTCATCCTCATTCTGTGGGTAGCACTTAGTTAAACCTGTGTCTAATAAACGGTCTTATGGGGTTGAAATGCCTTGCATTTCTTCTGTGGTGCTAGAAGAACTGGGAAATTACAGTAACTGAGTAAAGTGCCTYTCTCTGGAGATGCCCCGAGAAGTGCCTGTAACTGCTGTGCTTTGTAGATGTTCAGTGTGCCTGTCTCTCCACTGACCACATCAGACTGCCTGTGCTTAAGAAAGTCAGGCTGGGCCCCTGTTGGCAGTGTCAGATTTCCAATGAGATTGCAGTAAGGCAGATATTTAAACATTAGAATTTGTTTCTCTGTTCTTTGCTGAAAACTTTTAGCTCTAAAAGTGATAAGCATGTGAAAGGTGTTAGTCCCTGCAGAGCAGAGGTGAGAGATTATTTCAAATTCAAACTTCAGATGTCACTGAAAAGAAATATTTCAGCAGTCTTTAAGTTGCATATGTTACTGGRAAACCTTTTCACTAGGAAGATTGAGAAATATCTGAACTTACCTCCTTGTCTTATGTATATTTGGGCACTTTTAAGGGAAAAATACCAGTTGATTTGTATTGATGATGGTGTATTTTCAGAATCTTTTAGCACTGGGAATGAGTCAGTTTAAATACTTCCTTGTACTTCAGCCCCTGCTCCAGTCAGTAGGTGTGTCAGGTATCATCTTGCACGCTAGACAAGTTTTTATTAGTTTGATGCAGGAGTCTCTATCAGGGTCATATAGTTGGCCTTTCTGGGCTCCCAGTTGTCACCAACAGTGTAGAGTCATTCGTAGTAGAAGAGACCTCATGAGCCACCTAGTCCAGCTTCCTCTCTAAACAAGGTCAACATTACATTCGAAGTTTAACAATGACTTTTACTATGCCCCCTATTAGTTGTTATTTTTGAGTTGTTAATTCCTGTTAAATACTTGAACAAAAAAAAGCACATACTCACACTAACATCCTTAATCAAAAGGATTTGCCAAGTGTGTTCTAATTCCTTAGTTTTTTTTATTGATGTGACTTTATTCTTTATGGGTATGTTTAACTTGTATGGTCTAGCAACTACAAAATATAAATACATTTTTCTCGTGTCCACATTTTCAGGAAAGCAAAATCTGTTATAGATGGTTTCCTTTGTACTTAACATTTTGTAACCCATTAACAGCAAGATAACAGGGTTTGTGTAACTGAGGATGTATGATGAGATGTTCTTGATAGTACTGTTAGATAAAGCATAGTTCCTRGCTGAGTTCTTTTTATAACAAATCCTAAAAGAATATGTTCTGTCAAAGATTCCTATTACCATTACTCAAAACTRTTTCACTGTTTGAGTTGTGTGGTAAACAACTTCTGAATAAGTGTTTATTTTAACAGAAGAAAACCAAACCTAAGCTTGATGCTTAGTGATGGCTTGAAAAGCAGAAATGTGTTGGTATTTTAACAGTAATAAACATAAAAACTTCAAATTTTAAAAATACCCAGATATGTAGATGTGTGCAGTTAAGGTGCACAATGTACTTGGCAGCACAGATTGGATGAGGCTGTATCATTTATTACCTTGCAGCAAAAACTCCTGTAGAATTGTAAGGATTCTTTACTGATTCCTTTCTGTTGATAATCAAATACAAGGCTGAAGTAAGATTATAAGTGTATTTTTGTTCCTTAAAGACACGAGGTGTTTTAAAATTCTGACCAGTAAGCTGCCTGATTTTATAATTCTTGTTAATTTCAGTAATTTTAAACCCAAAGCCATTTTACCCTCAATATGCAGAGTACCTCAATATGTTCCCAGATATTTTCAGGCTAGTGTTACTTTTAAGTAAGAAATGTTCTTATTCACAATTCACTTTAGGTTTTACTGAGAAATTGTACCAGGACTTCTGTAGGCTTTATTATACAAAGCACTTCCATTTCTCCAGTATTATATTCATATAAGAAATRTGTGTTTGGATAGGTGCATTAAATTTTTAACTGTTTTTGAAGATTAATAATTTGGGTTTTCTCTGGTTTCTTTTGCACAGTGCCTTTGGTGTTACACGAACAGCACATGTATTGATTATCCAGTAAGAAGTATTATTCCTTCATCTTCACTGTGTTCTCTCTCAAATGCTCGATGGGGAGTTTGCTGGAGTAGGTACTAATTTTACTTTTKCTGTRGAGAATTATATATYTGTATGATTAAAGTTAGAGTACCASTTACTAGAGCTGTTCCCTGATAATTTTTTTGGAGGGGTGGGGGCAGGAGGCAGTGGTTGTGATTTGGAACCATGTCTTTAATCTTCTGGACTTAAAAATGGTTATTGTTATGCTTGMTTTGTGAACAGCCAGTAGTTATGCTGATCCAATGGCTTTTAAACATTTTTTTTTAAAATTTCAAAAATTTTAAAGTGTTCTAAATTTTGAAACATTTTAAAATTTCTGAAAGTGTTGGATGATTTGTGTAGATCCACAGTTCCTTTCTTATATTCCAGTGGCACAAGTGAACCAATACCACAGGAATAGAATCACACAGAAATTCTTGACTGCTATTTTTGCTTAAACAACTGAAATAACAATGTAATCTGTGGGTACCAACGGCAATGTAGATAAAGCTAAAAAGGAAGCTGCTCAGTGCCACTGTAGGTTGTAGCACAGCACTGTTTAATTGGTTTTTGAGTTCCATTTGCTTTGTATGTTTTGCTACAAAATACAACACCAAGCATATGTTGCCATCGAGGTGAAATATTTGGAGCTGTTCTTGCAATACTGTGTGTACAGATGTAAATTCAGACTAGACTTGAACAGAGAACACCTAAGACATTGGAAAAGACATCGTATGAAACAAGAGTATAGCTCCAGTCCAGCAGAGCAAAGGCTTCCTTTCTGTGTGTTCGTGCATGTACACCAGGAGGCTAAAGGACAAAAACAATGGAGGTGAACTATCAGTGACTCTGTTGACTGGATAATATTACCATGCTTAGTGCAGGGAGATTGTGCAGTAGTCAGAGTAGCAAAAGGAGGAGATTTGCTGTTAAAATGGGACATGCTGGTTTTGCTGCAGTGACTGCATTAAACAGTACAGGTGAAGTTTATAAATTCTTTATTCTTACCAAAAGGCTTTGCGCTTTGTTTTTTGAGAACAGGCATTTATGTTTAGACTTTTGTTGGAGTTTTTTAGAGTACAGTAGGTATATAATTTCAGTGACAGGGCACACTTAAGAAAACTGGGCTTTCAGTGTCATAGTAAAGGCTCTGACATGTTTAGCTAATATTTTTGCGAAAGCACAGAGAGTTGACTCCTGCCGGTACCTAAATACTCACACAGCTGCTTCCCCTTGGAAGCCAGTTACGCCCTCCACTTATTTTTCCTTTATCTCAGATTTTTTCTCTGACCATGACATGGTGTAGACTACTCCTTTGGCCAGTTTGGGTCAAGTGTTCTGTCAGCATCCCCTCCAGACCTCTCCAGTCTCTTGCCTCTTGCCCCTGCTCACTGTGGGGAGCAGAGGGGGAGGAAAAAAWATGTTTTGGAGCTCTTCAAGCCTGTTCCACAACAACCAAAACACTGGTGTTACCAGCATGTTTTAGGCAGAAATCCAAATTCAAATCTGCTGCTGTGAAGTAAATAAACACTCAAACACACCAAGTAAGGAAACATGTCCTTTTCTAGTGATACTAAGTGTGGCCTGCACAGCAGTTTACTGCTGCATTGGAAATGGCTTCTGGTTTAGGTGCCTTTTGTGTTTCTAGATTGACTGTGGCTTAAATATAGAGTGAAAACTTCATAATGGAGCACATTCTCAGCAAAAACAAGTAAAAGTATTAAAACCAAAACAACAAAAAACCTCTCAAATCTCCATTCCTTCAATAGATTTTTTAAAAATTACAGACAGCAACATGCTATGGGGTTATATGATCTTTTTGAGACTGTCCCCTGTGGACACAGCAGGGAAATTAATCAGCTTGGGAGGTGGTGGTGATGGCATTTTTTTCTTTGAGCAAATAAAATTAAGAGATGGATGTTCACTGTTGCTGAAAATGGAGGTGAATATTGCAGCTTTCAAAGTTAAAAACAAATGACTGGCTTCCAGTTACAATGTTATATGAATAACATGTGTTGACAGATTGTTACCGGAGGGACCTGAAGAAGAACAGTGTAATACAAAGTAGCTTCATTGTGTTGGGTGTTTTCATGAATAGTAAGCAGATAAAATAGGTACTGGAGGCAGGAGTGCAGGCTGAAAACTGACAGTCTCTCCTTCACTTTCATAGGTTCAAAAAAACTTTTTTGCTTCAATTAAGGAGTGTACTTTAAAAAAACCCTAAATTTTGTTTAAAACAATATTTTTCACTTGTACTTTACTGAATGATGTATATTTGATTGTTTGTAACTTGTRGGCAACTAACAGAATGAGAAATGTGATTTTACTTAATGTCTGCTCAGTGTAGTATTATGCATAAAAGCAAAAATTGAATGCGGTATATTGCATTTTATGTGGGGTAGTTGAATGGAATCATGTGGAGGTTTTTGCATATAGGCATGAAAAAATATCTGCGAAGGAGGGGGAGAATTATCAGAAAGATAAATTTTACTGCTAGAGTATAACAAGTTGAATATATTCATGTTTTTCAGTAAACTTTGAGGCTTTAATTATTGCCATAGCTGTGGTAGCTGGACTCATTCTGGTGTCCGTAACAGTCTGTTGCTGTTACTGCTGTTACTGCAGAAAGCGTTCCAGGAGGTAAATACAAATATTTTTTTCTTTGACTAACGTTGGGTGCTGATCTTCCCTATCTACCTACAATTTTTACTCTGCAGTATGCTAAGAATATTTTCATTTGGAAGCAGTTTTGGTCACTTGCTTTATTTGTTTGAGAAGGACAAGAAGATAAGAGATACTTAGTGATGGGTAGTATGACACTGGAAATGATGTTGGAATGACACTGAAGTGGTGTTTCTAGTGGTAACAGCACTGATGTATTGACTTTAGGTAAACTGTTACTTTAGCTTCTACAATTTACACTTTCTTATTAGCATTGCACACGAACTCTTTCAATGACCAAGTAAATCCTTGCTGGTATAAATAATTTCTTTCAAGGCAAGCTCATGGTACAGCCAGAAGGGACCAGGTAAGTTACAAGTAACTGAGCAGCAATGTTCTAGAGCACTCGATATCCATGTTTCTGAGTTACCCTAGGATCTGTCAGCAGTCAGTATCTAAGGGATTAGCTATCTTTGTCAATTAAAAAAATATTCTAAATGTAAGATAATACTTATTTTTGCTCTTAGACACTAAGAATGATGTAATTATTTTCAAGGGAAGTAATACTGCAAAAATTAAATGGTCTTGAGATCCTGGAGAACTTGTAAAACTTTTTTTTTAAACTATCTTCTCTGAATAGCTAGTATTCTTAAAGGGAGGGAAGTAGTTGATGAGTATCTGGAATAGGGAAGTCAGTCCTGAAGTGTGAAGTGGGACAGCACAAGATGCCTCCCTTTATCACTGAACTTTTAAAGGTTTCTGAGCTTTAAAAGTCATTTCAGCTAGCTCTGTTCTTTTTGTCCTTCAGTCGTGTGAATAAAATGTGTACCTTATTTCTTGGTCTGAAATGATTTCTATACTTTTTCAAATAAATATAGAGTGCTTAGTGCTGCTGACCTTAAAGCCAGAGAAATATGATATATCTGAGGCTTTAAATAAATGTGAAAATAATTGTAAATATCATCTCATTCTTTTCTGTCTTCCCTGAGGAAGATGTACCTGTTTCTGCTGGTAGATTGGTATACCAAATCTTGCCCTAGTGCAAAAATGAATACTCTTTAGTCCTGTGCTGATAAGCCTTGCAGATGTACCTAAGATCTGCTGACATCCTCTGTAGAGCAACTGAGTAGGCCCTGGTGGCTGACATGTCAGCAAATAAAGCTTGAATCCTGTGAAAAGAGATATTTGTGCCAGACTTCAGTTTTAGTAGCTAAGTTGTCAATCAGTGCTGTAACATCTAATTCTAAAAATAGAGGGTTAGTTGAGAACCATCTTATGCCAAGACTCCAAAGGTGTCAACCTTAACCTTGTGACCCTTAGAGGATTTAAAGGTCCTGTCAATCTGTGGTCCAGCTTATTTCAGGAGGATTCAGAGTGTGTTATTACACTGAAACCTGATACATTACTGGCTTTAAGCCCGCTGATTCTCAGCAGGAGTTCTTTTGTGATCTTCTTCCTTATTTTTCAAGACTCATTTTCCACAAAAGAAACCTTTTTTATTTTTCATAATAGGAGGAAGGAAAGTTTATGGAAATGTGGTACTAGATGTGTTTTACTGACTTTTTCAATGTATCTGAGATCTGAAGTGTAACCTTGTTTTGCTGAAGTATCAGTGCTCCTTTTGGGAGCTAAGATGTGTTTCAGTGTTTGAGAAGTGAGTCCTTACCTTTTCTTTGAACACAGAGAATACTTAGGTGCATTAACCCCCACATCAGTAATGTAGCTGACTCACCCAAGTCTGCCCTATTCCAGAAGCTCTAGGAATATTGGTGCACAGTTTATCCTGTGTTTTTGGACTTCTAAGAGTCTGGTTCCATGTACTTGAGACAGTTTCATGAATAGCTATTATTCATGAAACTTTACTAAATAGACTCTCATGAACTTCAGTTACCAACCATTTTTATTTGTATAATCTCAAACTTTCTGAATTTGAAAGAAAATTTCAATTCATTCAAAGTATCAAAAAATCAGGAGATACTTAATGCTTTTTAATTACAGGGAAGAAATGTATTTTTTGAATCATAAACAAAGATTTTATTTTTTTGATGTTTTCATGTTTTGCACACCAATTGTAAAGATTATTGCATAGTTATAAGACAGTGGGGTGTACAATAAAACAGTTTTACAGGAAGGTGGCCAAGAATGAGAGCTTCTAGTCATCCTGGACTTGCTTATATGGAGATTTGATTAGTTTTCCAAAAGGGTCTAACATTGTTTTCAAATAAAAATGACCTTTTTGCATGTATTTCCTACTTCCCCCAATATTTTTCTAATTCTTTAGGTGGAAAAGCTGAAACTAAAAAACGTGTTTATGAAACATTGTATGGATTCTGAAGTATTGACTTGTATTGAAATTACTGAAATGTTCAGAGAGATATATGGACTATCTGAGCACATGAAAGAGTTGAATTCATGTTTCCAGAACTGAGTGTGTCTGAATTTTGTGTGTTAAAGCCTTTGACATGCTGTAATTAACCACTGGATGTCACTCTTGCTTAACTTACATGTTGGTGGCTGCAGAGGTGTGCTAGTGCAACTGTTCAGGTGTATTAATATTGTAAATATTTATCTCAGATATTTTCAGAAATTTATTCACTTTTGGAAGATGATTAGCACCTGGGCAAGCACAGCAGTTCTCCATTCACTAATCCCAAAGAATTGTCATAAATTCTGTCAAGGGAAAACTAACAGAAAAATTGTTTGACATTTGCTTTAGAGTCCTACGGGTCTTACATAGTCTAATGATTAAGGGAAGCTGTGCTTCTCCAAGGCAGGTCACAAAGCTGAAGTGCAGTAGAGCATTCAGTAGAACATATCTACACATGCACAGCTCAGTTGTGCTGTGTAGATTCAGCATTTTCCAGAATCACACAGCTGATGCACTCAGGTAGATCCTTGCTCATTCCAGAACAGACTGCTTTCCTGGGGGCAGCTTGATATTGGAAGGTAACGGTTGTTGGAAAGATAAATTGTTCTGGCATCGAAGGCTTATGAACCATCAGTCTTCTTCCAGGGCACAACAATGGACTTAACTGACCACATGCAGTACATTGACTCTAAAATGGGGTGTGACACTTGGGGAAAAGGGCAGTTAGGAATTCTRCTTCTGGAACAGTCTGCAGCTTCTCCCTAAGAAGCTGTAAATAGTCCTGTGGAGGCTGAAGGGCATATTACTTCAATGAGTGCAGCATTTGGGTATTATAAAATGTGGAAGAAAAATTACACAAATGTGTCTGTTATACTTACTTCTTCATAGTCATGTAAAATTTTGTGGCTGAGTATCTCTGGATAGACTTTTGAAAATAAATAAATTACTGCTAAGCTATCAATATTCAGTTAAAGTTGCTTTTTCCTCCTCTTACACTTTCCTTCCCTCCTTATTTTACTAGCAGGCTAGATGAAGAAGAGGAACAGCTAGCTAGGAAGAGAGAAGAACGAAGACTAGAGTCTCTTCAGAGGTGAGTCTTGACAGCTGGTGGATTGCTATACATTTCCTGGTGATTTAGGAGTATTCTGGCATTCTAAGGAGTACATGGAGTACTGAACAAAGAGTCATTGTGAAGTTAGGCACGACAGTGTCAGTTTTTTACAAAAACAGAGTGAACCTGTGTACAAAAATCAGGTGAACCTGATTAGGAGCTGTATTGCTGTAAGTGAAGAGAGAGCAAACAAGTTGATGTTCAGTGTGGCAGGTACCTGGAGTGCTCTGTGCCAGTCAGGAGCAAACAGGAGGAATGTGTCTGAAGTCTTGTCCAGTCTGTCCTGGACCAGTGACTGTCTGTGACATGAATTCATGTCTTAAGTGAGGCTGGGATTCAGAGGTGAGACCCACTTGTTGGATTTATTTGGTAATTGGTTCACTTTTCTTTAAAAATGGTCTGGGAAAAGTAGAGAAGTTGATATAGTGAGATAYCTATTTGAAATCTTGCTCAACAAGTGGAAAACTTTGGCTCAGATCTCCTTTTAGCCTTAATTCCATGCTTTCTGTTAAAGCTGCATAGCACAATGTGAAAAGAAGTGCAAGAGGCAGCTGTGATACWGTGTTTCTCAGTGAGAACAGCATCCCTTCAGATGCAGGTTTCTATAGCTTAGTTTTATAGGAATTTCTCATGAGTTTTCCATTTTTCTTTAGATTTATAATTTTAATTAATAGGGTGATGATGTCTAGGGCAAGCAAGGTGTACCTTTTGAATCATACTTCCTTYCATGGTCTCTATTCTGGAGATTTGCAACTTCAGCCAAGCAAAGGTGTCCTAACCAAAGCTAGTCTTAGAGCTGTTGCATGTGGGTTTGAATCCTCATGCACTGACAAGGAAATTAATTAGGTTTGCACTTCCTGGTTTTGTTCTCTGAAGACTTCTGCCAAGTAACAGGTGGGCACCTTCACTGCCTTACTGATGCCTGCTGTTTCCTCCTGAGCTCAGACTGATTGTAGTAAGAGCAGGCAGGCAGGGAGCAAGGCATGCTTCCACATGAGAGCTCTTGTGGAGCTTCTGCATGAAGACATTAAGTTTCCCTATTACAAACATGCATAGGAAGACAAGGCAGGTTTGTTTCTGACTTAGCACAAAAATGTGAGTCAGCAAGGTGGCCTTACAGATGTACCTGCTGTCGCTCATGTGCCTAAAGGACAGGAGCTAGAAGAATCACTCATCTTTATTCCATGCATCTGTTTTCTTGCTCTGGGCTGTCAGGGTGTATAAGCAAACACAGCAACTGCTTGCCCATAATCTGATAATGACTATGATTTTGAAGTAGTGTTGTGATATTAAGAAGCAGAATAAGTCCTGTTGCAATGGGTTAAATTGATATGTCCTTTAGCCTCATACAAAATTCCTAATCTTGCTGGCAATAGAAAGAATTAGAATAGGATACCATGAGGACATAAACCAAATATTTTTTCAGATCTTGATGAAGTGAAAAGTTTAAATGATTAGCTTTTGGTTTTGTGATTTCTTTAAGTATTACATACTGGCAGTTTTATACAGTGATTTCCATTTTCTACTAGCTGCATAAGACAGTTTAGTAGCTTTTAAACTTACCAAATTCAAACTTAGATTATTTTTGTAATAAGGTACAGATTTTAACAGCACAGATTTACTCTTGCAATAGTGTATATTCTGCATTTGTACTCATCTAAGAAATTAAGCTTAAAAGTAACTTTCTGAAAATATAAGAACTAAATGTCTCCTACTGTAGTTGAGCTAAAAGTAATGTTTTCAACATATGTATTTTTCAAGTGTAATAGTGACACTGGTTTAACACTTTAGATTGCGTGTAAATGCATTTTACTTCTAAGTAACTGAGAACTACTAATGATGCAAAGAGAATTCTTACTTTTCTTTCATGCCTTAGGCGCAGCACTCCTTAACTTTGTGCTATGCCAGATTTGTTTTACATAAAGGTGTTCACAAGTCTGACGGGGTTTTGAGAGTTTTGTTCTGCTGGATGAGTTGAGTGAAGCATCTTAGTATATATCCATAAGATTTCTGGGACCTATAGGATGCGAGGACAGAGGAAAAGCAAAGAGAGCATTTATTTGGGGACAGAGTAGGAAGGAGTACTTCCCCTTTCATCGTTGCAAGGTAATGTCAAACATGATCCAAGAAGAGAACAGATACAAATTTTCAGTATGTTTTCATAAACATCTGAATTTGTGAGCTGAAAGTGTTAGACCTGAATGTGCATGGAAAGGTAAGAAATAGGTGTCCAGTTTAGGAAACATGCTCACACACAGTTTCTCAGACAAGTTACATTGACTATTTGCAATGGATCAGAAAAGAGGGGAATTTTCTACCTGTTAATCCTGTTATAACTAGTCATAGCACAGTAGGCTGAGTGCTATTCTCCTACAATGCCTTTGTTTCTTTCTAAAGAGAAGGGATCCAATGAGGAATGTCAAACAATTTTTTGTGTGCCAAAACCATGGGTTTTGCAGTGAAATGTACATCCTTAATTATGCTACTTTGTTCAGTTAAGACAGCATTTTCTTGTGTTTGTCACAAAGCAAAGACTTCTGACTAGGTGCATAGTAGGGGATAATTGTGTACCATAACCTTTCCACTGTGATTTATGTATCAGCTTTAAATTCTTGGTACAGTTAATCTGTAGGAAGTCTGATGTTCCTGGAGTGTAAGGTGTGCTGTGCACACACTGAGCAAGTGATGTTGCACCAGGCAATTAGAAGCACAGAGCTAATACCAGCTCCATTCTTTAATTTAGCCTAGGAACAAGGATCAGTGGGAGCAGACTGCTTACTTAGAGCAGCATCCCTCTTTCCCAGCTTGTCTCAGGAGTGTGTCTGTGAAAAATAAACCGTTTTAATTGCAGGAGAGAGCTTAGCAGCAGCCCTGGGGTATTTCCATGTTCTGAACATGCATACCTATTGTGTGTGTGACTGGAGGTCATGGGAAAACACAAGGAGCAGGCCTCTTCCAGCAATCAGAGCACCTCACCCTACCCACTGCTTGCATTCCCTAAGACCTTTGGAGGATGAAGTGCTTGTAGCAGACTGTAAAACCAATTAATATTCTCAACAAGCCATTTTTGACAAGCAAGCTGAAGAGGAAAACACTCTTGTACTGTGTAGTCCTTCCTTTCTTCTGTGAAGTTTTCACATCGTTTATGAAAATAGCTGGACAGACATTCAGATAAATATGGGAGGAAAATAGGCGCAGCATTGACCTTATGTCTATCTGGTTTTGCTTTTTTTTCTTGTCATCTTACATCTTTCTTTTTTTATGTGGATACACCTGCTTCAGATACAGTTGTTTATATCAGTTGGCAATGGAAGGAGAACAGGGCTAGCCTGAGCTTCATTTCATGGTTCTATTAGTGTCTGGTAAAAACAARGTAAGGAGGCTCAAGTTCCACAGTGTTCCATGTGATTTTTTTTTTTTTTAAATGTAAGATAATTGCAGCTCCTAGTATATTCTGGTTTTTCAGGTATATTGTAAAAGTCTTCTTTGTAAGTTTAATATTTGTTTGCATTAAAATTCAGTTAATTGTGGATACTTGAGTGTGTCTTTGGAAGATGCCAGTTTAAATGAATACTAAGGGTAATTATGTTGGCTCTCTGCTTGTCTGCACAAGGGTGAAGCCAGCTGTCAATTTACTGAGAAGGTTGAAAATCACCAGTGATGGGTAGAGTTTGCATTTATAGTGAGGGGCATGAGGAGAAGCATTCTCCATGTCTGGAGTTCAATTTTTGACTTAAACAGCTATCTTACTTCATTGCTTTAGTCCTTTATTTTACTTAATAACCTCTAATATGAAAAATCATTTTTARACATAGCATTGAGTAGTGAGTCTTTTTGTATACACTCAATTATTTACGSCTGCAAATACATGGTATATTTATCTGTTAGATTTATATAATTTATAAATCATTATTTATTTTATAAGTTTATAGGCAAATGCTAAGCAGTGAGATCCAGTGCCAACTATAATTTGGTAGTGTATTGGTAAGGGAGAACAAGGAGAGAGGCCCAAGAAAGAAAGGCTGGCAGTTCATTTGAGAAGAACCAAGTATGGAAAATTATTATGTGAGTTGTTAGTATTGGGAAAAATACTTCCTCAGCTTACAGCAGCAGGGACAACTTGCATGAGAAGCCAAGACTTAARCATGTATAAGATGGAGTAACAGCAGTAGTATTAAGAAACAGAACCAACTTGGAAGACTGAAGTGACTTGAGCATCTCATAGTGTGAGATGTGGGTGGTGCAGTAATGCTCCTGGGTGGCTTATTCAGGGAGTGCCTGTTCAGAGCTGTGTCTGGTTCTTCTGGGTTGATGTGTACCTAAGTCTTATTTACTGAGCAAGGATTTAGTCATGGGTGAAGTGATGCCGTCATGGCTGCTGTCAACGTTTCCATGTTTCGCTGATATTGATGGTTTTACCCTTCAAACTTAATTAGATGTTTGGTGGTTTGTTTTGAATAGCCTAGCCTGTTTTGAAGTATCCTAAAATCTTTCTGCAATTTAAAGCCTACACAGCTTGATTTCACACCCTKCTTAAGCAGGTGCTTTCTGAATTCAGAACTGATTCACACTGGCTGCTGACGTACTGAGGTTTCAGCGTCTGAAACTGCAGCAATGAGTCTCCATTACTTCAGATGGAGTGTGCAAAACAGTGAAGAAATGCCATTAGTGCCACCTGTAACAAACCTGSTTTGAGATCACATGAAAACCATACRTGGAAGGGTTTACCTTTATACAGGAGAAGGCTGCTTTAAGCAGAATTTCTGTATTCTTTTCCTGAGATCCTTTGCCCCATGTAATGTGCTCCTCWTATGTACCACAGAAAGCAGAAATTCTGTTCTCAGGTTACCTTCAGTAGGTAAATTTGTCTCCTCTTTTCTCTGTTCTCTTCAATATCTTAATCCTGACTTTCTCCCTCTGCATATATTTCTTTACCCTGACTCTCCAGTTCCTCTTCCTGCATTTTGACCAGGTTGCTTTGTTKATTATGCTGGGCTTAACAGTGCAAAGGAATGTAATGGATATGGTTGTCTCTGGGAAATAGTGGAAAGTTTGGAGTCTGCCTGTCTTGTTTGGGTTTTCTCATCATGCTTTTATCTGCATGCTTTTCTAGAAGTGCAGTTGCTGGGAAAGGCCAGTTCAGCCCTTCAGCTCTGTTGGAAGCAGGATAATTGCTTCTGAGGACACACAGGATCTGATTAGCAGAAGGAATTGTTTGGAGGTGGAATATGCATMGGGCAGATGGGATCTTTGGTGAATTAAGCTGTCAGTGCTTAACAGCTTTCTGCTGAATACGTGCAAAGTGGAATCCAGCAGAAGTCACAACTTGTCTGACTGGGTTGAATTTTGACAAGGGGTAGTAAAGGATGTATTTTTAATTTTTTAAAAAATTTTTRTGAGAGGAACATTTTTTTACAAATTCCATGTCTTTTCCTCAAAATACATAGATCCTGGATCATACTCATAAAGCAGTTGTGTAGGAGCTTTTATGGGTTTTTTTTTTAACTAAACAAAACAGATCTTTCCTTTGTTATATAGGAAAACTATCTGAGAAATTATGCAGTTTTTTCCATTTAAACATCTTTCATTTTTCCCCCTTCACCTTTGCAAAGGGGAAGGAGAAATGAACTCATCAGACACTTGGTTTGTGTGAATGATTTAAGTTTGGTAATATTAGATACAGCCTTGAAAACTGTCTTATAGTCAGACAACATAAAAACCAATTTATATTTAGCACAATATTTTAATTTATTCTCTGCATGGACACCATGCTGGATTTTAGATACCAGTAGTTTTCACTTACACTTGCTGTACAGCTTAAACAAARCAGTCATACATCCTCTATTTTTTTAAAATTATTACATTGAATTAGTATTCCGAAGTATGTTCTGTGCACAGCTGAATTTTACAATTATGCTCCCTGCTGGAAAGCATTAGGGAGTCTTCCAGTGTAGTGTAGTGCCTTGCTTCTTATGCATAGATAAACACCTCAGTGTGTGTATGCGTACATACATGGGGATGCRTTAATTTTATATAGAAAAGTGTTTCTCATTGTTTATTGTAATACATCTTCTTTTGCATTATCAATTAGTGAGAAGTTATGGGAAGTCTTATACATACACTGTATTTAGATTCATGCGGATGAAGTGTAAATAGAAAGATAATATATGTAAGTGCTAAATGTGATTTTTTTGAAAGTTTGTAATGTAATTACTAATATTTATKTAGACAGTGCTGTTCTCTTTTTTGGATGTAATTATAGTTTGCTTACCCTTCAAAATAGTCTGAACTTTCTTTTGATATCCTTTTTTCTTACAGGAAACATGAAAGAAAACTGAAGCATGATGAAATACGTAAGAAGTATGGTATGTGCCATCTTGTTTTGATACTCTATCTAAATTGATTCCTTTTCTCTAATTATTTTTAAAATTCACAGCAGAAATAAGCTGCTTTATGAATGACAGAAGTAATCAAGCCCAGTTTCCTACTGATGCCTGTCTTCTGACACCTGAAAACCTGATCTCAGCACATTTATGCTCCTGTTCTCTTCCTGCACTGACTGTCCARCTGGGCAAGAAGGCAGTGTGCTGAATGGGGTGTTTGCTTGAGATGGGCATTTAAATATATTGATTAAAATAAGTGATTCATTCTATCTGTTCCTAAGTAAGAGTACTGAGTTTGGGGGCTTTTTTGTTTGTTACTGAATGTGATAAATCAACCTAYTTGAACTTTGCTGCTGGAGTCATGGCTATTAAAGGAGGAGAGACTGACTAGCAGATAGCAAGCTTTTTAAATCAAGTTGGGAAAGGAAGGGTGAAGGATGCAGCCTAACATAGGGATAAATATTTTTTCTTAAAGTAGAGCTGTGGTGCAGTTGTAGAAGAATTTCACARGACTGTAGGACCTGCTGTGTTGTATAGGAGGCCCTTATTATGTAGGCTTGTCAGTGCTTGCACTTTTCATTTGATTTGTTCATAGGGTTAATAGTACTGTGTATTCAGAGACAGATCTGCTAAAACTCTGCTGCATTTTTTATTATGCAAATTGCACTGATGTCAGAGAAGGTGATTCTAGGGGTCTGAACAGTTACTCAAAGCTGTTAATTTTCAACCTCTTGTTAAACTGATTGGCAGARTCTAGGAATGTCTTCATGAATCTGCAGCCTGCCCTTTGCCTGATGCAGAAGTGATATAGACAAACTCTGTAGGGAATTCTCTGCCTGGAAACCGTTTGAAAAAGAATGATCCTTTGCAAAACTACACAGTGTAGCAAAACTACACTGTGAAGCTTGAGCTACAGGAGGAAGAACGTTGTAGAAACTGGAAGTAGTTTTTGTTAAATATCAGTCATGGAAGTTGTTCTGTGGCATTTTACAGGATAATCAATCCTGTATCTTAACCAAAATTCAGTTTCAAGAGGTGTTTGAGTGGTTGACCACAACAGTCCAGATGTAAAAAAGCAAACAAAATACAAGCGCAGCATCAAGCAACACAGGCTTTTTTTGTGTTGGTTTCTCCTTAGAAGAGCTCTCACAGTCAATCTCAGCAAGTTTGAATCATTAGGAAAGATCTGGTGAGAGCTTAAGGCAATRGCTGTCTCCCCACGATAACTTGCAGCACTCAGTGCAGATGAGCAGGTGAGAGTGGGCAGGTCCTGGGTGTGGGATCACAGCTCCCATATCTGAACCTTGCACTGGGGTTCAGTGATGTGAAAGCTGCATTTAGTTATGTTCTTGTGAAACCAGTTCACTTGTCTGCATGGCCCTGCATTTTACTGAAGACAGTTGTCTGTTCAGTGCTTAACTTTCAGACCTTTGTGGAATGCTTTGCTGGATCTTGTTGAAGTACTTGAATTGCTGAAGTATAAAACTGTGTTATGTAATGCCTCTGGAATACATACATCAAATTCAATAAATCAAGTGTTGCACACAGTCATAGGAGAGCTAATTTTGCCTTCACTATCAATAAATTAATGAGAAACAAGTTCATASATTCATTGTGTTAGTGGAAAGTGTTCCTTCTTGTAAGAAGTCAGACATACTTCTTCCTGCACTTATGTTTTGCAGTGCAGCTTACTTGCACAAGATTGCAATTGGACTATAAAACTTAAATTTTATTAGCAAACTTCTATATAAAGTTTATTGACAGGTTTGCTATATTGCCTAAGCAAAAATTAACAGATGTATCAGTTTGAGGCCTGGAATCTCATGGTTAATTTTTGTGTTAAAGAAAACTCTAACTCTCATCCTGAAAGGCTGTGTTTAACTGAGGAAAAATTAAATACAAAATATATATAAATTTTGAAATCAAAAAATATAATTGCTATTATATATATGAGTTGCATTCTGATAATATGCAGACAAATGATTGTCAGAATAATTCAGTGAGACATAGAATAGACTTGGATCTTCTGGTGACATTTTTAACTGTCTAGAAAATACAGATGTAGCATATTAAACATAATCTAATAAAAATTGCTGCAAATAATTATGGAGRCACTAGATTATTTTGCACTCTTACACACTGCAGAGAGGATTCTCAGTTAAGTAGGCATGGATGAGTGGCAGAATGACAATGACTTTGTTAACCTGACTCTRTAGATTAAGATGATCATGCCTGAAATTTCAGTATTTGGTTGGCTGTAAGGGAGTGCCTTTTCCCATTTCATCCCCCAGCTTTCCATACCCCATTTAAATGGTAATTACACATTTATAATGCACTGCAGGTGTCACTCTAGCCACAATCCTTTGGGAGCATTGGAAGCAATAGAGAGCTTTAGCAACCAGGAGTACACACTTTCAATTGTTTCTTTGTTGCACAATTTGATAGTATTTTTCATTTGCTCACATGTATGAATGCAATATGATTACACAAATTATACGTTGACTCTTAGGAAAAATTTAAAGTAGAATTCAGAATATTTTGCAGCTTGTGTMGTACACAAAGGAATTACAATTTAATTCCTGCTGCATTTGCTTCTATTGTGTATTCAGTATGGCATTAGTGAGAAGCRGCTATATTATTTATTTATTTCAGGATTTTCTCTAGTATTAGTGGAAGGATTTTTTCATTTAATTTTTGCAAAATGATTACCATTTCATTGCTTCAGTTCTGSAAAGGTTTTGATCAGCTGTTTTAATGATATGTAGTCTTATTTCATTTATTTTATGYGAGACATTGATTTTTATATTCAGTAGTTTATCACAGTAAATGTTTCTTCTKTTCAAGGTAGATACTTTGCCTTGACCTTGTTCAGTGTTCTGAATGCAAGGCATGAGAACCTTGCATTTCTGTACACTGAAAGCTATTTAGTTTGTTTATTAAGAATACAGTTATTAATCTGGGGGCCAAAAATAAAGAAGAAAAGTTTAATAAGGGGTGAAGACATGTAGCAAACTAGGGTGTTTTTTTTTCAGCCATGTACTGTCTCTTGCAAGGATTTAATTGGTTAATTCTGTTTTTGGGCAGTGTTGRTATGTGATGAGAGTCAGATTTCAGTGACTGAGAACCTGCATAGTCAGATAGTATACAATATAAATGAATATGCTGGAAAGAGGTATTAATTTCTTTTGGCCATTGYTTTGTCATTTCATATTTATTACAATGTCTCATTATTCCATACAAASTAATGAAAGACACTTGACTGCTATACCTTTCCAAATTTTGAGCATTTCTTAGATACTACTAAGTAGGTAAAATGCTAACCTCAAAATGAGGRTAAATAGAAGTAAGATGTTAAAAGTTCTTGTTAGTGACCTGTGTGTCAATATTCAAGTTCACCTGTAACATGTAATGGACTTGATTGCAAACAAGGCTCCTGAAGCTACAAACATCTGGTTTCTCTGAACCCCTGAGGGTAAATGACAACTTGGGTAGTGACTCTCATGTCAGACAGGAAACCATTGAGAGACAACTCCCATCTGGTTCAAGGCAGCATGAGAGCTTCAGCTGAACCAGATGTGCTGCCCCATTAGCATGGGCTGCCAGCTCCTTGGGGTGGCACGGGGAGAGCTGCTGTGACAGCTGACAGAAGTTTTTTGTCATGCCCCTTTTTTTTGTATGTCTGTCCAAATTGTTTTTGTCCACTTGCTGRAGCCTGATACTTCTTCAGTAAGAGCTGGTGCAAATGATGAGCTGCTGTCTCCCTCTTTTCACTTAATATAATCTTATGACATACTTAAAATGCTGAGGATAAAAGAAGTTGAAATGCTGGATGCAGGTTTGAGAGCAAGGCTGAGACTAAAGTGTATCAGGTATCATAAYCCCTGGTTATCTTCATTTCAAGAGGAGGGCTTGCCACTTTTATAGGAGTCCATTTATCCTGGGAAATCAATTTCTGAAGTCAGACCCAATAGTATTCTCAGTGGATTGACCCATAGTTCTTAAAGCCTGTTTAGTTTCAGTATTCTGTGTTAAAACAGATGAGAGTACTTCAAGTTAGGCATRCTAATACCTGGTTGGTCGTGATTRTATCTGTTCATTCCTAAACATAATTCAGTAAAATTAAAGCTAGTACTACTGGGAATGGCATTTGCAGTGAGAGTAAAAATGACACATTCACTTGAAATATGAGAATTAGTTTTCTAAAATGGCTTTTAGCTGAGTGTTTTTGGGCAGGGGAAGAGAAAAATATATTCATTCCTCAGAATGGTGTAGGAAAGGTTTATTAGGACTCTTACACAATCCTCTAGTTAATTTGAAAGTGGCGCTACCGGATGTAGCAAATCTTTTCCGTTGGATTTCAGCTGTTTGAGCTGTAAAGAACAGTATCTAGTGTTTTACTGTGCTACTTTCAGACTTATGAAGTGCTGAGTATGTGTTCTGAATGAAATATTAAAAAAAAATATAATAAGCACTTACCAGACTCTATAGAGCAAAGTCTGCAGCCTATGTTTGTTTTATCAGGGAATCTGGTACCACATCTTGCCACTTTGTGGAAAGCTTTTTGAAGTTAGGTGCATTTATTTGTAAATGGAACTTAATAAGTGTAGGGTGTTTACGCAATGGCAATTGTAATAATAATGGTAATTTCTAGTATTGATGCTGATTTTCTGTAAATGTTGTGTAAATGTGCTTTGTATTTCAAAGGGGTGAAATATAGAAGTACTGCAATTTTTTTTTAAATTGGACTATTCAGTTGTGTTTCGGGTAACTAAATATATTAGGGTCTATATATCCAAACTGCCAAAGTATTAACAAGTCTGGAGGAGAGAGAGGGGGGTGGTGACAGTCTGGGAGTAAAATAAATGTTTCTTCTCTCTTTGGGTTGGGGTTATATTGATGCAGGAATATTACCTGAAGGTACAATACCAGGTAAATGGACTGTATGTCATGTTACCAGGCTGAAGCTTCGTAAGTATGACTGGCTTACTCCTTGGACAAGTAAGAACCATTATATATGAAGGCTGGTTTTCATATTAACATTTTACAAGTTGACTGCTCATAATCATAATTTGAGTGATTATAGGACTTTCATACTCATTCCTTCTTCCAAATATTTGCTGTTCCCTATCAGGTAGTTAGTTGCAGTAACTGGTACAGTAGTCAGCACTCAGCAGTTGTGCTGCTTGATTGGCATCTTAAAATAACCTGGCAGTTCAAATGAAGCTCACCAGCTGCACAAGGTAGGAAAAAGTGTAGTCTGCCTACAGCACCATTAGGTTTTGACTTTCAGATAAAACAGTGAATGTTCAATATCTGTGTACAGGTAAAAGTGGAAAAGAGGTAATGGTGTGAAAAAGACTGAGGGGAGCTCCTATACGGTTTGGCAGTGACTTGGTTTTTTTTCACTATTGTGAATCTGAGCATTTGTGATTTGAAGTTTCTGAGCTGCACTATCTTCTGTCTCCGTGCCCAGACAAATGAATTAGAGGGGTCTTTATCTCAGTATAAAGATCTTGGCAGAAAAGATAGTGTYCTAGTGTCTTTTAACATCAGAAGGTCAGTCTCTGGACTCTTACAGGACTCCTTTATTTTCAGGCTTCTGCCTACCCCAGGTTTAAAGTGTGGTTTAAAGTCTCTGAAATAATTACTGTGTGGAACAGTGATTGCTCAGGTAACCCTTACAGAGGATGCTCTGCATATCCAGGCACTCAGCATAATTGGATGGCTTTGCAGTGCTTTCTGTGACGGTATTCTAGTACAAAGTCATTAAAAATCTTTGTGATGGAAACATACTGCAACTTGGATTAAGTGAWGCTCTTGGTCTGGTCCTTGGAGGTCTTAGGGCACATAAGAAGTGTTCTTCATTTTTTCTTAGAGGTTATTGTCCTGTTGAAGAAAAGCTGTAACTGGTTGAATGTGACAGATGGTTGGGTATAACTGAAGTAGAACTAAGTCAAAGTAGCAGCGTCTTACATTTTAAAAGGATGATGATCTTATAGTCACTTGCATTTATAAACTGGCCACTTGGAATCTGTTCTTCTTGAGACATCTCTATGCTTAGGTTTTTGTCAACTTGATTCTCACAAATGCATTTTTGTGAGGTATACTTCACAAATGAGAAACGTTTTTTCCATAATAATTTTTCATAGAGAAATGTTCTCTCCCTGCTAAATCATGAAATACTCATTATTGTCTGAGAAATAAGAGTGCTTAAAAACACTTCCAATTTATTATAATATTTGAGTGTTTAGGTAATAGAGCAACTATTATAAGAATTGCCTTTTGGATTTGTTACATGCAGTACCTATTGCAGTGAAGTCAATAACACAAAGTTTTTCTGTAATAAGAAAATGATAAAAGTAGTCATGATTTGTTTTACAGGTCTTCTCCAGGATTCTGATAACCCCTACAGCAGATTTGAGAATGAATAAAGATGTGACCTTCCACAAGAGCTGTAACTCCAGAATACAGGAAGACAGTTTGTTTTTTCATTTGCCCTTTGTGCTCTTTCACTTCGTTTTTTTTCTATCTAAAGTGTTCTTTTCCTGGTTCTAAAACTAGAATCAGCTAAAGGCTTTCTGAAATAATGTGTTTCTATCTCCTACATGTATAGAACTAATTTTTTATAAATTGTTTTGGTTGTTRAAATGTTTGCTGAAGTTCATGTTGGTTATCTTTCCTCTTCTTAAATCCCTATTTTATTACTTGTGTAGATGGTTAATAGACACAATAATGTGTTTGAGGTTTGAGTTCAGTCTTAACTGCCAGTTAAAGCAGTTGTTCTCATGTTCCTAAATAAAAAGCTTTTACACACACACACACACACACACACACATATATATATATATATATGTATATATAAAACAACATAGAAACACGGCTCCACCCAGCAGAAATAGTTGATGAAAAATACATCATGCGCATTCTTGTGGGTGGAAGGTTTTTTGCCTGGAAAAAGATCTTCCAAAAAGATCTTCCAGGAGTGTAATATTTAAGGGTTGAGAGAGAGGAACRTATTTGTCTTTGAATAATTCAGTTGTGGGAAAGTTAATATGTACTTTGGATATAGCACTGATGTGRAAAAGAAACTACTTCAGTTAGCAAAATTGGAAGAAGGTCATTCTTGAAACAAACATAGGTATGTGTTCCTAAACTTAACATCAAGTTTGTGTGAAMACTTTCTTCTACAAACTTATTGTATATTGAAAAAAAAAGTAAAAAGTTGCCCAGATTCTGCAGTTTGCCAGGGCTGACCCTGGCCAGCAGCTTAAACACTGCCCAGCTGCTTCCTCCCTCCCTCGGGKATGCAGGAGAGAATGGGAACAGCAAAGGGTTGAGATAAAGGCACAGTAAGTGAAGGAAAGGAGGGTGGTGGGAACAAAGTCTGCAAAGGCAATTGCCACCTCCCAGAAGCAGACCTCTTCCCAGCCTCCCCTCCATTTTTCTTGGTGAGCCTGGAATAGGGTCAGTTTGGGTCAATTTTGGCCAGTCCCWACTGTGTCCTCTCCCAGSTTCTTGCTCACCTCTGGCCTACTTGCTGGAGCAGGCAGAGRGKGGGAAAAATGAAGCCTTGATGCTGTGCAAGCAATGCTCAGCAAAAGCCAAAGCACTGGTGTGTTACCAGCACTGTCCCTGCCACAAACCCAAAGCAAAGCAGCACCCTAAGGGCTGCTGTGAAGAAAGTTACCTCAGTCCCTGCCAGACCCAATACAGTGAGAAAGCAGTATTTTTTTTTTAACCTTTTATTGTTCTTTTGATGTTTCCATAATGTGATCTATTTCCTGTCTTTCTTTTCATAGAGGTGTTTCCTTGAACACTTTTAGTAGCTTACCAGTATGATGTGGCAAGCAAAGAACTCTTCTGTCCCCCCAGTCTAATATACATTCCCATTTATTCCATAAACTTTAAATTGCCTCCCTTGCTATGTGTTATCTGTTAAATATGTACAATATTAAAGGTGTTCATGTTATTTTTGTCCACATTCCTAAAATAAACTCTTAAATGTCTTGAATATGGTTCTGTTGTTGGTCCAAACCATTTTAAATTAACTTGGTTTAAAAGAAGTTACCAAGTATGAGTTTGGGGGAAGGAAGAAGATGCGCTTTTCCTCATCTGTGGCAGGAATTTGATCTTCCTGTGGGTGAGGAAGTGAATTGCCATTCCTTGCAGTGCTTCTGCTTAGGTTTAGTAGCTATTACTTATCACTAGTTTTGATACAGTGTTCTTTCACTGGCTTTACCTTTGCAAATAAGTTTCTCTGTATAGAGTTTCTCAGGAATTTATTTAAAAATAGATTTCCCATTTCCTGAATCTGTACTGTAATTAGTGTTAATGAAATATTGGTCTGTTTTTTTCTTTTTCCTTTTTTCCTTAACTCATATTTATCACTTTATTAGTAGGCACTGTGTTTAAATTCATGTTTCTTAATCTGTCAGCCACTGTCAAATCTGAAGTATTATTCAAATGCCTGTCTTAGAAGAATGATGGTCTGTGATATGAGTGAGTTGATAGTGTGGAAATGAAACATGCTGATGGTTTTCCCTGGAGATAACTTCTGCAAAAATGATGAAGGTCTGCCTGCTGTCTCATGACCCAAGTAGTGACATTCCTGACTTAATAGAAAAGCATTTTTCTTCAGCACCTGCTACAATGTACAAAGGGCTGTCATGTATTCTATCAAAAAGGGGAGGAGGGACAACCTCTTTTACCATTTCAAAGATGGTAAAATACTTGGAGAACCAAAATGTTTTGAGAAAAGGGAACAGGAGAATTAACATTCCTAAGTCACAGTTATGGACATCAAAAGGTAATGACTGTGGTCAACTTTAACTTACACTATGCCTTAACTTTGTCGGTAAATTATACAGAATGTTAAGCTGGACATCTTATGTGCTGTATTTTTGCTTATACAGTTAAAGACTATTCATTTAATGAGATTATTGTGGATTCCAGTAATAGAAAGCACAAAAATCCTCACAAAATCCCCAGACTTTTCAGGTTATTTAACCTTTCTTTTCTGTGTTCATTGGAGCAATTAATTGGATGGAAAATACTCTTATTTCAATGTATTAATTACCTTCTCTGCTTTCCTGTGTATCACTATTTTTTACTTTGGCTTGCCACTAGAATGGTTGCTCACCTTTGTATTTCAATGTAGCCACAAGTAATTRGGAAAACAGTTCTAGAAAGAGGTATTGTTGTATCTTTGTTTCTCAGGTGTGTGAACAAAGGCATTTATCATCTTCAGTGTGAGCCGCCCCTCCTCCACAATTTTCAACAAAAGACATGGAAGGTATGCAATATAATAACAAAATAAAAGTAGGAAAACAGCATAACCTAAGCMTGAGAGCTGGATCTCTGCTAATCATGTTTTTCTGATTTCCCCTTCACTCACAATCTATTCTTTTTCCTCTGTATTTATRCTTTTAGTGTTACTGCTTGTTAATTTCAGTAGGGAAGGTATTGCTTTCTGAAAAGAAGAGCAATATRGGAAGTTAAGAAATTAAAATTTGTGTTTATCTTTCCACAGAATGGAGCTTCCAGTACTCAAAACGCAAGGGGGTCAGTAGTAATGTTGAGTGTAATTTATATAAGTAAAGAAAATTTTAGTAGATTGAAGCATATTGTTTTAACTGTGTCTTAATGGAGGAACATAGTTTTTGCCACTTCAGAAATCTTGAATTTGACGACTCCATTTAGTTGTCTGTACCATGTCTTACTTAAGTGTTATTTAGTTATTAAGTAGACATACAGAAATAATTTTGGAAAATGGTCAATTTTTTCTTTCTTAGGGTATCTTTGTTTCAGACTCCCATCCAGAGATTTCACCATGTATCCTTTAAAGTTACTTGCTACACCAAGCACCTGTATGTGGAGTGGCTCTGGGCTGTGTGCCCGTGGCCTAAAACACTAGGATGCTCCAACTGAGCAACATGCAGTGCTTCAGATTTGAGCTGGTCCAGAGAAATGGGACAGAAACAGCGAGGATGCTTTTCTTCCTGACCTTCTGAATGTCAGTCTAAATGGGAGCAGGGAATGAGACACTTGGAGAAGAAAGCATGGGGAGTGGGGAAGTCAATAGTGTGGAGAAAGTGAAGCTGGCAGCAATTGCATGTGGCTGTGCCCGCAGTTCCTGCCTGAATCTGGGCCATATCACCTTTGCTGTTGGGGCTCTAATCAGCCAGCATCTCTGACTGGCCCTGTGCTTCAGATCATGAACTGGGGAGGTTGCATGAATGGAAGGTTTTCAAGGCTCACACAGGCTCTCATCTTTCCTAATGCAGCAGGGCCAAGCTTGCTGTTGATTGATTTATCCTTTCTGTGRGTGCTAGAACAGCCACTTGATGGGCAGAGAGGAAGGGACATTTGTCAAAGTATGTGGAAAGTGGCATATCAGGACTGAAGTGTCAGTAGCTCCAGAGTATTCCTGAAGTTGTGTTTCTTCTTGGTGGCTCTTGACAGAATCCTCTGAGACCATTCCCTTAATGCTCCTTAGCCCAAAACTTAAGAGTCACGATTCTGATACCTTCAAACAACATTCCAAACCTTTGTTTATTTTAATGACCTCACATGGTTTATGGTTTATACTCAATATCTAGCTGAGCAAATACATTTAGTTTTTGTTGTGGTATAATTAGGGCTTTGGATTTGGCATGAAAGGATCAAATGTTTAAAAGTGTGTCAGTGTACATTGGCTCTCAAGCCCAGACTCTATTTTGTCAACTCAGCATCAGCTTCCTGGCTAGCTCTTGTCATGTGTCTCTGGTTTTGTGTGAGTGCAACTGTGTTTGTCCTCATCACACCTCTGTTATCAGGAAAAACAATCTCTGCTTTCTTTTCTGATGCTGAGTTCCTACAAGAGATGTTAAATGTCAGAGACGAGAGCAAAATTATTTGTTCCCGATTGACTTCTCTTGGCTGTTTTAAGCCACGGTGAAGTGGTGAAGGCTGGGATATGTGCAGGCAGTGAATGAGCCAAACCATACACGAGTGGGAGGAGTTGTGAGGGGCGACAAAAGGGAATAAACAGTGGAGAAAYACTAGAGCAATGATCAACAAATGATGTTGTCTTTTGCACATCTTTGGTAAAATTTACATTTTTTGTTTTATGTCCTGTCATTTTTAATAAAAATGAAAATAAGCACCTACACTGTATTGCTACATCAGACATTCCCAGGTTGATTCATTTGCTGCATCAATAACCAGRCTTAGTGTTTGTTTATAGGAATGCTGGCTGAAAATCACAAACTTTCCTATCTTTTTCCTATCTGACACAGTTTACAGAGAAGATATTTAGTGGTGTCTTAAGTGGGCTTCCACAAAGCAGGAAGGTCAGAAGGTAAGTAGACGTAAAGAAACCTGCAGGTTGATTTCAGCAGCTTAACAATTTATCAGTTTTCTGACTGAATGTCTCGACCATCAGTATGTATTATTAATCAAATGGAGTGACTTTTCTCTTGCTGATATAGCAATTGCTTTTAAACAAGAAAAAGTAATAGAGGGCAGAGTTTTTGAGCTGTCACTTTGAGTCAAGTGCTGGCATGGCAGATAAATGGGTGATAGACTAAGCAAAGTCACTTTGAGGACCCTGTAAGCTTGAATCTGTTTGTGTAGTAACATGCTGAAGTAAGATGCAGGACAAAGATAAAGATATTTACAGTTGGTCCAGAGACTTGGCTGGGTTTTTTTTTTTTTTTTCCTTTTTAATTTGACCTTCAGTCCAATCGTACAAGGAGTTGTCAAATAGCAGTATGACAAAAAGGATTAGGAAATGTTTAATTACCCCAAGATGATGTGGATTTTCATACCACTGTTTCTGTCACAGTTCCTAAGCTCAATACTTCTCTGACTTGCATCTCAGGGGCAACCTTTCCTATACCCCTAATTGTCACCTGGCTTGAAATAGTGTCAGAAGCTTGGTGTTCTCAGACCAGCCCTGATTACTCATTTTCCTCGCATCAATTCAGGAATCACACACTTACTACTCTTACCCTCAAGGAGGGTTCTTTAAGCTCCATTACTTCATTTCATTATTTCCTTTTTAGGAACTTGACACATCTTACTACCAGATGACCTAAGTTTTCAGCCTTGGCAAAAGAGAGTTTGCAACATTTCAAGGTGGTAATCCCCAAGATGACAATTTTCCCTCTTGTACTATAGCTTTATGATTTTCTTTAGTGCTGCATTCTTCTTCATGAACATTCTTGAAATTGCAATCACTGTGGTGCAAGTTGATATCGGTTACACTGGACAGAGTTTGGTCTGGGAAAGCATTTTCATTCTTCAGTACTCACCAGGGGAGATCAGATGCTGTGGATTAGGAGGGATAACTTCTTTCTGGGTTTTAGACTGCCWGATCTCAGTTATATCCCCAGGTTTTCCCTCAAGGGTTACTGTTGGTTTGATGGAATTTTTGCAAAAATCCAAATGTCAGCACRGCAGTGTTATCCTCCTGAGTGTCTCTTGCTGCTGCAAGGGAGCTTCATACTTGAATAACAAGGAATAAAAACATTTAGAGAGTGTTTTTTAATCTTTTTAAACAAACTGAACACCTGTCCTGGGTTGCTAAAGTTGTGACTAGCTGATGCTCTGAGTARCTCCTGAAACAGACTTCATTTTGGTGCTCAGCTCTGTCCTCAAAATGAAGTTGATTCACAGGACTAAAACTGGGTGTAGGTTGATACATGGTGAATTTGAGTCAGGGGGACCACATGGACTAGGACTTCTAAGGGGGAAATATATCCCGTGAAACCTCATCCCAAATTATGCTGAGGTAGTCAGGATTCAAATGCATCTCCAGTTTCCTTGTTATCAAAATTGCATTCCCATCTGTGAGAAAAATAACGTTAAAAAAAGTAATTTCTAATAAACAGATTAACACAGGAATATATTTGTAAGTCAGAACTCCTCACCTATAATGACTCCTGTCTTTATTAAATGTCCATGTTCTAGGAATATCAGAAGCACCAACTTCATCAGATTGTAAGGTCCTTGATATTACGAAAGTAAGTT